TCCCGAAAAATGCTGCTTTTAGAAAATCGAAGGTAAATTTTTTGCCCCTTGTACAGTTTTTTTAAAAGACAAGAAGAGTTTTTTCTACAACCAAACAAATATACACACCAATGAAACCAAACTTCTCCTATAGGTAGGGCAATGCCCATTTTTGGTGTAGGTCAAGATTTCTTGAAACCCCGAAAATCTGGGTCGGGCCGATTGTCCTTAAAAGCGACCAATTGAACTTTCATCTCCAATACGACCGAACCAAAAGGGTGAAGAGCTTTAAAAACTCCTCGAAAAGGCCCACTTCAGATCGCCACGTCTGAGATTCGAACCAGAGTCATTCGCTCCGTAGTCCCGCTTAATGCCGGCATTGGTGATTGGTGTTCGATTGGTGATCATTCACAAATTTAAACAGTTAATTAATGTTCATGGCTTTCCATCTTTTTTGTGGCTTATTCCAATCGGAGATTGGCGTTTTCCTGGGAGTTCCTGCTTCTAAAATTGTCTTTATTTGTGCGTGAATTTCTATAGTTTAAAAAAACTGACCACATCATGAGCATTGGGAGATGCATAACTTAGCGAGGGAAAATTGCCTTCCTATTCTAAATAGACAGAACAAATTGAGAATTTGCACTCAAGAGAAAGAGGAGAATACCGAGAGCTTGCATTAACAAGAGCACGTGCCAACACCTCCTCGGCTGACTCAGGCCACAAACAAAGCTCCAGTCATTCTCAATTCCCTTCCTCTTCAAGGGACGCTAAGAGCCCACGGATTCCCTGGCAGAGTCCCTCGTGAGCGGCCGATAAAGCACTCACTTGTCTGGGCGTATCCCCCGGAGCCATCCATTCTCGAATCGCGTCTTTATCCAGCACAACGCCCAAATTCCCACCCTTAACATAATGGTGGGGTCGCTTTGCATTTGGTTCCTTTTCACGTAAACTGATAACGTGGTTTTGTGTTATAAGCGAAGCAGCGATTGCAGAAAAGAGTTCCATGCCGAAAACGTTCTTCTAACTTGTCTAGAGATTTTAAAAATATAACATTCTTTACTCCAATCTATTTGGAATTCAAACGAATTCGGGTTTTCTTTCGACCCCTTCATTGCGCTTGAATTGGTATGGAAAAATGTTGCTTAGAAACAAAACTACACCCATCTTTTGAGGCCGCACGCTACAGAAACATGGAATCTAGAAGCAGATTAACTCTGCGCGCAATGGTATCCCGTGGTTAATGACCAATCCCATGAACCCCTAGCAACAACGGCATCTAGCCATGCCGCCTGAAACCGTTGCCTGATCGATAAGTGAATGTCCACCATCATCCGGATATGACTTCGATAAAACCTGGTTGTGGTGATGGTGGTCAGGAAGTATAACAATTCTCTCTCTCTCTCTCTCTCTCTCTCTCTCT